ATTGTACCCTGATAGTGTGGGTCATTGTTCCTTTTGGCGTGGGACATTGTACCCTGATAGTGTGGGTCATTGTTCCCTTTGGCGTGGGACATTGTGCCCTGATAGTGTGGGTCATTGTTCCCTTTGGCGTGGGACATTGTACCCTGATAGTGTGGGTCATTGTTCCCTTTGGCGTGGGACATTGTACCCTGATAGTGTGGGTCATTGTTCCCTTTGGCGTGGGACATTGTGCCCTGATAGTGTGGGTCATTGTTCCCTTTGGCGTGGGACATTGTACCCTGATAGTGTGGGTCATTGTTCCTCTTGGCGTGGGACATTGTACCCTGATAGTGTGGGTCATTGTTCCCTTTCTCATGTTCATGGAGTGACCAGATGGTGTCGGTCAACCATGAACATCCGTGTTACAGTTGGACCTCTGCATGCCATGCTTCTCTATGTTGAAGATGGGCGGGTGTCAAAGCATGAAAGTAGGTGCAAAACGATTATCTTTATGATGACTTACAAATTCTCTCTCTCTCCCTCCATCACCCTCTCTCTCCCTCCTTTCTCTCTCTCTCTCTCCCTCCATCCTTCTCTCTCTCCCTCCCTCCTCTCTCTCTCTCTCTCTCCTCTCTCTCCATCTCTCCTCCCTCCTTTCTCTCTCCTCCATCACCCTCCTCTCCTCCTCTCCTCCTCCATCACCCTCCTCTCTCTCTCTCTCCCTCCATCTCCCTTTTCCTCTCTCTCTCTCTCCCTCCATCACCCTCCTCCTCTCCCTCTCCTCCCTCTCCCCCTCTCTCTCTCTCCTCCATCACCTCTCTCTCCCTCCCTCTCTCTCTCTCCATCCCTCCTTCTCTCTCTCTCTCTCCCTCCATCACCCCTCTCTCTCCTTCTCTCTCTCCCTCCATCACCCTCTCTCCTCCTTTCTCTCTTCCCCTAAAACATCTCCTCTCTCCCTCCTTTCTCTCTCTCTCCATCCCTCTCTCTCTCTCCATCTTCCTCCATCTCTCTCTGGGGCAGGGGTAGCCTAGTGTTTAAAGCGTTGGCTCGTCACGCCGAAGACCCGGGTTCGAATCCCCACATGGGTACAATGTGTGAAGCCCTTTTCTGGTGTCCCCGCCGTGATGATGCTGGAATATTGCCAAACTCAGTCAGTCAGTCAGTCCATCCCTCTCTGTGTCTCTCTCCCTCCCTCTTTCCCCCTCTCTCTATCTCTCTCTCTCTTTCTCTCTCTGAAGCGGCGGGGTGGCTAAGTGGTCAAAGCGAAGGCCCGGGTTCGATTCCTGCATGGACATAATGAGTGGAGTCACATTGTTTGAACATTGCTAAGAAGCGTAAACCCAACTCCAACCCACTCCAGCACCCACCACTGTCCATCTCTCCGTCCTCAGCAGTCATGAGCTAGCAGCACCATCCCAATCCTCAGCAGCAGCAGCAGCAGCAGCCCAGCAGCAGCTGGCAGCAGCCAGCAGCAGCAGCAGCAGCAGCAGCAGCAGCAGCAGCAGCGGCAGCAGCAGCAGCAGCAGCAGCAGCAGCAGCAGCAGCGGTGGCAGCAGCAGCAGCAGCAGCAGCAGCAGCAGCAGCAGCAGTGGCAGCAGCAGCAGCAGCAGCAGCAGCAGCAGCAGCAAGCAGCAGCAGCAGCAGCAGCAGCAGCAGCAGCAGCAGCAGCAGTAAGCAGCAGCAGCAGCAGCAGTAGCCAGCAGCAGCAGCAGCAGCAGCAGCGGCAGCAGCAGCAGCAGTAGCGCCAGCAGCAGCCAGCAGCAGCAGCAGCAGCAGCAGCAGCAGCAGCAGCAGCAGCAGCAGCAGCAGCAGCAGCAGCAGCAGCCAGCAGCAGCAGTGGCAGCAGCAGCAGCAGCAGCAGCAGCAGCAGCAGCAGCAGCAGCAGCAGCAGTAGCAGCAGCAGCAGTAGCAGCAGTAGCAGCAGCAGCAGCAGTAGTAGCAGTAGCAGTAGCAGTAGCAGCAGTAGGAGCAGTAGTAGCAGGTAGCAGCAGCAGTAGCAGCAGCAGCAGCAGTAGTAAGTAGCAGAGTAGCAGTAGTAGTAGCAGTAGCAGTAGCAGCAGCAGCAGTAGTAGTAGCAGCAGAGTAGTAGTAGTAGCAGTAGTAGCAGTAGTAGCAGCAGTAGTAGCAGTAGTAACATTTTTTGTTTGTCGTTTAGCGTCGCACTCAGGGATATTCCAGCTAATATCCTTGTAAATAACCGAGTCTGGGGACAGAATCCAGTGATCAACAGCATGAGGATCGATCTACGCATTTGGTATACGATGACATGTGTCAACCAAGTCAGCGAGCCTGAAGATTAATTCTAACCGGAAGATTAAAACCCGGATCTTTACGGGTAGTGAGGTGAGGTGAAATTGGGTATAACGTCATGCTTGAGAATATTTCGCTCATAAGAAGACGGGCATGCGTGTTTATGTGTGTGTGCGGCTGCTTGTACTAGCCCAGACTTAAGCTGGTTTTATGGTGCTAGCCCACTGAGATACCATGCCGCAGTGAAGCATGAATACCCCACTCAGACACATTATACTGACTCCGAGCCGACCAGTCCTTGTTGTACCCATCACTAGTACTAGTAGTAGTAGTAACAGCAGTAGCATTAGCAGTAGGAGTAGGTCTATAAAACATCTAGCTACAAACATTGCTCTTAAATTTCATTGTGTGCTTTGTATCATCATCATCATCATCATCATCATCATCATCATCATCATCATCATCATCATCAGTGAAATATATGACTACTGTCTTCGCTCAACTAAATTCAGAGTATGTTGTTTCGACGGCAGCCAAATATGGACACATTTTAATATATTTCTTGAAGGGGACATGCCATGTTTCCATTGACTGTTCTAATTTGACATTCCAAGTGCAATCACAATGTAGAAGTATCTAACATTATATCTGGAAATTTCAACATGACATTGTCAATTTCGAAATTACTATTGTACAAGGTGTGCTTCACTGATTGCCTGATAACGCTGAGTTCCACTGAGTCACAGATTTCATATTAAACATATAGCACGTCAAGTGATTTTGTTCTATCCACATCCAGCTATACTGTGGCAGCATAAATAGTCAACTTGAATTGTTAGAGACGTGAGGTGATTTTAAAATAAATCCACATCCAGGTGTGAAAGTAAACGATTGCCATTCAAGCCGGCAGTTTATGCCTGAATGCATGCATGCATACAGCTCAATTTCAATGTTGTGTTTGTGCGAACTCTTCCCTTTCCACACACAAAAACATTTTCAAACCTCAATCTCAAACAATACTTTATTGGGCAGAAGAGGCCATACGACCACGATTCATGTTTTCCTCAAACTTGACTTTCGGTGCATATTTTTTTTTTTTAAAAGGTTGAAATACTCTATTGATACTTCAATGTCATTTCCAATATTACGACGTTTCTATTGCCTTCTAGTCTACTTAAATGAAATAACGGTATTGAATAAAGGTAATTTTACGTTAAGATATGCAAGAGAGAATATCAACATGGTGTTGAAAACGTGGAAAGTCATGAAATACCTTCATTGCTCTTCATGTGCCATGGTGGCGGGGGTCAATTTGCCCTGTGGTATGGACCACTGTGCCTTGATGACGTGGACCATTATGCCCTGAAGGCGTGGGACCTTGTGCCCTGATGGTGTGGGTCATTGTGCCCTGATGTCGTGGGTCATTGTGCCCTGATGTCGTGGGTGATTGTGCCCTGATGGTGTGGTCCTTTGTGCCCTGATGTCGTGGGTCATTGTGTACTGATGTCGTGGGACCTTGTGTCCTGATGTCGTGGATCATTGTGCCCTGATGGTGTGGTTCTCTGTGCCCTGATGTCGTGGGTCATTGTGTCCTGATGTCGTGGGACCTTGTGTCCTGATGAAGTGGGACATTGTGCCCTGATGGTGTGGTCCTTTGTGCCCTGATGTCGTAGGTCATTGTGTCCTGATGTCGTGGGACCTTGTGTGCTGATGAAGGGGATTATTGTGCCCTGATGGTGTGGTCCTTTGTGTCCTGATGTCGTGGGACCTTGTGTCCTGATGAAGGGGATTATTGTGCCCTGATGGTGTGGTCCTTTGTGCCCTGATGGCGGGGTCATTGTGTCCTGATGGAGGGGGATCATTGTGCCCTGATGGCGGGGTCATTGTGTCCTGATGGTGTGGGTCATTGTGCCCTGATGAAGGGGATTATTGTGCCCTGATGGTGTGGTCAATTGTGCCCTGATGGTGTGGGTCATTGTGCCCTGATGGTGTGGGTCATTGTGCATTGATGGTGAGAGTCATTGTACCCTGATGGTGTGGGTCATTGTGCCCTGATGGTGTGGGGCATTGTGTCATGATGTCGGGGTCATTGTGCCCTGATGGTTTGGACCATTGTTCCCTGATGGCGGGGTCATTGTGCCCTGTTCGCGGGGGTCATTGTGCCATGATGGCGGGGTCATTAATGATGGGGGTCATTGTGACCTGATGGTGTGGGACCTTGTGCCCTGATGGAGGAGGTCATTGCGTTCTCATTGCGTGGACCATTGTGCCCTGATAATGGGGGTCATTTTGCCCTGATGGTGCGGGTCATTTGCGCTCGGATTGCGTGGCCATTTTATGCCCTGGTGGTGTGTGACATTTTGCCCTGATTGCGGAGGTCATTGCGTTCTCATGGCGTGGACCATTGTGCCCTGATGGCGGGAGTCAGTGTGCCCTAATGGTGTGGGGCATTGAGCCCTAATGGCGTTGGTCATTGTGCCCTGATGGTGTGGGTCAGTGTGCCCTGATGGCGTGGGTCATTGTGCCCTGATGGCGTGGGCCAATGTGCTCTGTGGAAGCGTCATGGAGTGACCTGATGGTTTTAGTGACTGCTCGTTGTTTTGTCATATACCTGGTCGGACTTACTTGAACGCTGTGAATACTCCAGAGTGCCGCGATAAAACAACATCCACACGCAATCCCAAATCCTTACATTAATGAAATTGTATATACATTTTCCACAATGGAAAACTATTTAGTATTGGCATTTGCTGTAAATATAACAGAAAACG